CGTTTGAAGTCCCGCTAGCATCAAAATGATGGTTGCAATCTGGCCTTATATCACATAAGGATTCCCAATTGCGTAATATGCCATTCATAACTGACACTTAAATAAAGTTTATGATGATGATGATGATGACGATTGTGACGATGAACTGAACCATATCCATCTAGCCCCTGATCTAATTGAATGTAAAAAATGCTCCCAAACGTACCTTACGGTTACTTATTTTATAATAACATTTTTTACTGTAAAGCGCCATGAGCCATGGATATGGCGCTATACAAATCTATTATTATTATTATTATTATTATTATTATTATTATTATTTTTGCGAGACTTTATGACGTTCCTGCTAATTGTTTCTGCGCATCCTTACTGCGCACGCAAATTCACACGCCAAGTCACGCATGAGAGAGCGCGCTAAGTAATAAGATGAACAATGATAGGGCAGATGGCCATTGTTATAGCTTTGCCTGGACTTAACGATCTTCGGCGTTCGGTGACCCCTACTTTTCTCTCCAGAAACAGATTTTATTAACAATTATCTCCACATTATCCAAAAATGAACAAAAAGTCAATGTGGGAAGTTAAAAAAATTTTCAAGATTTCTATCCACGGAACATCGAATCCTGCAATCTTGCGGCTGCAAGGCGCGTGAAACTACGGTCGCTAAATGCGAACTTGCTCTTTACGGAAGCTCACCAGTTGACCAAATTCACTTAATAGGTCCACTTAAACAATATTTGGCAGAGAACATTTCACTTCAAAGATCTAATTGCATTATTTTTGGGCTTACAGACACTGTGGCCTTATTCGCTAACGAAGCCCGATTTTTTCAGATTAAGGGTATTCTTCTGGGCATGTTGTCTCCAGAACGAAGTCGGTGACCCCAATTGTTTTCACATTTCTGACATAACTAACTCATCATCTTACAGTGGTAAAAGTCTCAGAAAAAAATCAATGTTGGAAAATTTTCGGGCGAACGTCCAGCTCTCAAGCTGACCCCGTGAGGAAAAATTGAACTTCAGGTTATCCATATTTTAATTAAAACAGACGTTTTCCGTCAATTAAAAGCACAATGACACACGCTTTAAACATTTTTACGAGGTTTGACATTAACTTTCTCGAGAATGCTTGAGAATTTAATCGCGGGGTCACTTAAAGAAATGAATTAAAGTAAGTTGTTTTAGATGGTATTCCAAACGTTACACTGCAGTGAGTAGATTTTTTGTAAATGTCTTTTGCGCTTATTGCTCGAACTTTGAGCAGAATCCACCTTGATTTTTGCGATTTTTAATTTTGTAATTGAATTTTTAATTTTTCAATTCTTGTGTAAACTCTTTCCCCTGGGTCTTTAATTTCGCGATCAGGTTTTAATTTAAATCGCGACATTAAAGACCTGCGAAAAAAAAGCTAGCAGGGTATTAAAATACCCTGCTACATAATTCTTTAATCAGACATAAGCCTTAATTTACAACCAGTTGAATAAGAGCGAGGGAAAGTACACGTTGCCAGAAGACGGGAGAAAGCCGGCAGGAGTTGCTAAGGTAGTTAAGGGTGAGTCTGCTCTTCTTCCCTAGGGTCCAGTTGAAGAAATTAACAATGTCCTTTATCTATGAATGCAAAAGACGGTTTCCCGTACTCTGTACTTCTATTATGTAGCAGCGCTTTGCTACAAAGGAACATGTCAAACTATACGGTTTCAGTTTCGTTTGGTCTATGTTTTTTTTTCACTGTTAATGGAGACTATTGCTGAAGAAAATCAATTGTGCCAATTCTGAGACTGAAGATCAGTATTTTGACACTGTTAGCAAACGTTCCTTCCATTTAACGTTTTGTTCTTGGCCAAATCACGCAAAAGTCCCGAGCAATATGCCCGTTCCATTTTCGCGCAATTAAGTTCTCACGAAAATATGTAACATTAAGGTAGAGAGCACACCGTATTTATACGATAAATCACTATCCGCTGAGAGAAAAATCTCATGTGCAGTTTTGTAGTTTTTTCTGTTTATTCCCTTGTTTTTGTTAAAGCAACAAAAATACCTGAGTTTTAACATCTAAATGAAAGAAAAATACAGCTAAACTGATTTTACACAATTTTGCTGACTTAAATTGATCATCCTATGTAACCTGTCCTTTCTGTGTGCTGACAACGTTTTTAAATACTAACTGATCAATTATTAAGTCTTACATGTAAAAGAAAATCAGCTAAGCTGTAGTCGTTGTTGAAACCACCATATTTCAGTTCAGTTACACAGTATAATCTTCAGTTATTTCTCAAACACAAAAACTTCCATTTCATTGATTGTAAAGTTTTGATTTCCTGTCAAAAATGTGGTGGCATTCTGACCGGTTGGACACTGGTAGGTGTTGTTCAGACTTACGGAGCAGTTGTATGAATTTGGTGCATTGGGAATATAAAGATCATTGGCAGCGCCTCCTCCACTGAATGTTGGTCCATAGCTACTGTTGCAATAGATAGCATATTCTTTTCCAGCTATCAAAGGCATCTTTGTTGGTGGCAGACCACTTGGGTTGACAAGGCTGAACAGAAATGAGCCTGGTGCTTTCCGGTAAACTCCAGAACCTACACAAAACAGAAATATTTCATCAATACTGAACTAATCTCATCCCCAGATTCCTTTCGTCTTGGTCAGCACTGTTTGTTTCCAGGTGGTGTCAAACCAAAAGAATCAGACATTGCAGTAGCAGCCATGATATTGATGGCAGCGATTCCAAGTCAGAGCTTAAACTCCAACCAGAGAAGATGAACAGGGTGTTTTGTCATCACTTATCAACTAGACTGCAATTTCGACTAAACCCAATTCAATAGAAGTAATCATGGTAGTGATCGAGGTCATTAAGCATTGTCCATCCTTTGAACCATCTCATTGTAAGATGTGATTTCAGGATGTCAATAAGACTTTGACATAGGTTTGTCACAGCTGCAGATGAGCTGTTATCATTCAATTTGCAACCTCTACGAGGGAGCTCAAGCCATTACAGATAATCTCACTCACCACTCTCCCATGATTCCTCAGTGTAGCCTCCAAATATGTAATTTCCATACTTGACCACTGTTACTGTAGGTCCCTTTTTGTCACAACAGGAGTGAAAGTTGGCAGCAGCCCAGCCATTGCGGGAGGCGCGGTATATCAAGGCATAATCGCAGCTGCCACTTGTGAGTGTCTCCTTCAGCAACTTGATCAAGGCCTGCTGCTGATCTGATGACAGGATCGATGAATCCTTGAAGGGCCTTGCTTTCAGCTCATTGATTATTCCTTCAACTTGGTAAAATTCAGCTTCGGTTAACAGCTCTCTTCGAACAACCTTGTCTTCAGGCACTACAAGCTGCCCAGTGCGAAGATAGTTCAGGATATACCGGAAGTGAGTTCCGTCACGATCAATGAAGTAAGATCCATCCTCGCTTGGCTTTGTGTCAAATCTCCCTGAAAACATGGCGTGTAACATTGAACCTAGAATAAAATGATAACAGAAACAGGTGTTAAGACTGGTAGCAATAAGTCCAAGTTATGATTGAATTGGACCAAAAGGCCAAAAAAAAAAAAAAAAAGCTGAACGGAGTGCGCATCGTGAAAAACTAAATTTTTCAAGTTTCTCATTTGCAATCCGTGTTAATCTTCTCCATCCTTAACTATCCTTGTTCCTTTATGGTTTATTATTATCTCTTTGATGTTTTTCTACCTAAGTACACTAGTATTTCCGGGTTTCCTTCAATGTAACTAAAGGTAAATTTGTGCGTGACAAAAATAACGTGACTGTGCTCCTTTAAACTCTAAAAACTTTTGATCCAGTCACGAAATCTCTGAGTCCTTTGTGATGAGTCACAAAGCCTTGTTTTCGTGTGTTACTCTCTGTTCTTTCGTTTTCCAGATGAAAACAATAATGTAGTCGGAGTCACAAGCAGAAATTCCTAGCATTGGGATTGATTGGTTCCTCCGCTTCTGCTTCCGACTGTGACAAATCGACAATCCAGCTTTCACCAGATCATAACCAACGGAGTCGTAAGCGGAATCGGAGGAAAATAGAAATCTTCTGATTCTTTTGACTCCGATTCCTGTCACGCGATCGAGCTCAGTTATCACTCCACTCCGTACGACTTTGATTTTCGATTTTCATAGGGCGCAAGCGCCATTGATAGAGAGCTGCTACCCGAGGACAACGCTTAGGTAGAAATGGCCTTCGAATGTCGCCATATATTGTCTAGATCTGTTCAGTGCGCCCACTGATCTCAGAACTTGCTCAAGCTAAATAGGTAACGCCAGAGTTCAATATTCCAAATGCAAATACGAAAAATTAGCCGCCGTCGTTCGGGTTCTCGAAAGTACGCAGAACTTAATCATTTCAAGTTGTTGTTGTGTAGAGGACGGCAACGAAATGTACAAAGATTTATAATGCACGTGTACAGCAATTGTTCTATCGAACCTTTTATTTGGTGGCGATCTCGTTGCCGTTGTCTTGGTGGTTTGCTTAATTTTTTAAGCTCGCAAATTACTATCTACGATTACGACTCCGTCGGCAGCGAAAACCAGTCCGGCCTTAACAAGGACTTAAAATCAGATCTTTCAGGATTGGATGCAAACCATCAATTGCACATTAATAGACTTGTGGCAACCTCAAGACATAGTGTCGTTTTAGATTGACTTCTGCTTTGTAAAACTACTAGTACTGACTTCGAAAATACTTTCTCCTAGTGTCCGTATTGCTAACATGCGACGGAGTAACAACGATAATAAAGGTATAAATTTCAAAACATACCTGGATCTTTATTCAGGGTTGCCAGACTGGTCGAAAAAAGGTGTCCGCCAACATTAAGCTTTAACATTGTCGAGAAATGAACGTGCTCGAGTTTCTTGGCTGCCTCGTCAAGAGCTTCCTTTTCCATGCGAACCTTCTTCGTCTCGCGTTTCAATATCTCGAATGCTTCTTTGATGTGATTGTTCACTTCCTCAAGCGCTTCGTCGCTTGGTGAAGTGTCTTCGTCCTCCGACTTACGCGAAGAAGACATCTTTTCTCTGGCTGTGAAGAATAAATACAACGAAAGAATGGCCCTTTTTGTTAACTCGATTCTTGGAATCTTGGATTCCCGGAAATTATGTTGTGGTTGACAACACCTGTCACGCGTTCCTCCAGTCCCCACCGGCCATTTCTAACGGGGCTATCGCATCGGCAGAATGATGATGCTGGGTGGGACTGGACTACCGTGGTTATAAAAACTCTGGCTCCTTAGATAGTTCACTAAATGCAAAACAAACGAGCAAATAAACCAAAAAAAAAAAAACTAACGGACATAATCCAATCGTACTCTGTTTTGACCATGACCGCTACTAATACAATGCTTTGTATACCCTTCAGTTTCAGACCAAGAGGCCAAATGTTTCCTAAGAGACGCTGTTTTTGCGTTTAAATGTATGACGGGTTGAACCCCCGATTCCGTTAGATTCAAGCTAGTTACTAGGGGCTAAGCTTCCGGTTGCGTGTCGGTCGCATTATCCCTTTAATCAAAACAACTGCCGCCGGTCAGCGGTCATTCCAGTACAGAGTTGTCAGTTTATGGAACAGCTTAGATAAAGATCTTGAACTAAATAAAAATTATAACGTTTTTGACCGTAAGCGTAAGCAGATATTATTAGACATTTAGTTATTTTCTCAGGCTTTTGCGCATCGTTTTTTATCTATACATAATCAGGAGGGCTCCTGACATGATTTATTATAGGTTTTTAACATAATTTGTATTGATCAACGAAAAGCCCCCAGTGAGTGTTCAATAAAGTCGCATCTCATCTCATCACAGTTCTGCGTTATAATTTCCATCCGCAGAATTTAAATTCTGAAGCTGTTTCACAGTTGGTAACTGCTTAAAAGATTCAATTGATCATTATACTACTCCCAATTTTTTTTTCTACTAACGGCACAGCTCTCTTTTTCATAACACCATATTTGCCATATATATTCACTGCCAGAGCGATACGATCTAGGTGAAAATCAAACTGGAGTCTGAAGCAGAATACTGATTCCGCTTATGACTCTATCGCTTATGATCCCACAGTGAAAACTAGATTGTCGGAGCCGCAAGAATAAATTTTTAGCATTGCGATTGGTTGGTTCTTCTGCTTCTGCTTCCAAATACGACAATCTAGTTTTCACTGGATCATAACTACTACGGTGTCGTTAGCGGAATCTGAAGAAAATAGGATGGTATGATCACCTTCCGTCGAGCTTATGACACCGATTTTCGATATTTTACCAGGTTGTTTGCGCTCTTACGACTCCGACTACGACTTCGACTCTGACTCCGTCGCTAGTAAAAACCAGCTTTAATTTAAATTGTAGAGATCATACGAATTGAAGTACAGTGGAACTCCACCTTACGGCCACTTTTTTAGAGCAAAATGTGCTATTGGGATGGTTTAGGGGGCTGCCTACCGCTAAGGCACTAGCTAAGTACTAATACGCTAATGCCCTAAGGTGGAAACTTAAGTGTTAGTTTAATTTATTAATTCCAATTAATCAAGTTCAATTAATAAATTAGTCTAGAGACAAGGAAATGGTGGGGGTGAGCTGGGAAAGGTACACGTGTACCCTACGTAAAACGTGTTATCATATCTACGTCAGTTAAAAGTAAATATTGCAAAGCTATATATTCGTTTCAAGTATCCCCTTGCTCTCCTTGTAGTACTATTCTCTTAAGAACAAAACCAATTTGCTCTAGACGCATGCGCAGATTAGTTAGCGTTCGTGTCATTGCATACGGGATAACACACAAATGTTGAGTAGTTTTCCTTATGGTAGAACCCAACATGTAAGAGGCATGCGTTCTAGCATCGTAAGTGTTATATGCTATGTTTCCACGCGGTTTTTTATGTCATGTAATGTCAGGTACTAGGTAGCGCCACTTGTCCCTTTTTAGTGCAAAAGTTAAACGTATCTTTTAAAATTACCCACAGGTCGGTTCAACAAATATCATCTGCTGTTTTCAAACTACAATAGTATGTTTGTCAGGGTTTAAATAAAGAAGGGAAATGTGAAGTGAAGTTTCTCATTACCGGCTTATTTATTTCTTGCCTTAACTGCGTCTGTAAGAGAGACCAAAAAGTTCCCGAGTTAGTGGCTTTAATATCCTGCAAATTGTAAATTTGTGACAAAAGAAGTCAGGAAAGTGCTCAAATATTGCTGCAGACTCCATGGCACCTAAGGAAAGGGCAAATTAATTTAATCAGTCTTTGAGGAGACTCATTCATCGATGCAGGATAATATCGGCCAAGTAGCGCTGTTTACCTTCAATACTTCTCATTGAAACACTTCCCAGTGGTATCAATCAATATTGTGTATTAATTTTGAATTGTTTTATTGTTAACAACAAAGGTGGCAACAGAAAAAGAGAAAAAAAAAATCATTTCTCTTCCATTTCTTCGTCAGATATGTAACTTTCTTTCATTTATCCCCCAAAACAAGCTCATCTTCGGTGTGTTTTAGAGAAAACAAGAGTTTCATGTTACATACCTTTGTGAGGAAAACAAAAGTATCAAGTTACAAAGTTGGCATGAAGAGCTAAATTGTCACGTTTGTTCAACTTATTATTGAATTTAAAATGAATGAAAATCATCATAAAACATCAGAGTAAAATTTAAAAGCTGTTGTGACAAACAGTAATTGTACGTAATTTTCGGACCTTGAAACGTACTCATTGCTAAGGGGAAATAAGCCCTAGCAGACTACCAAGGTAGTTGCAAACCGGAAGTGAACCAAGCAGGGGTGGGTACTCAGGGGACTTACTAAAGTGCCAGAGCTATCAATTGCAGTCTGCACTATCTGAGATTGTCTCACTAGTTTGTCATAGCATATTGTTTTGAGTGAAAGTTTGAACACTTACATACATAAATTATTAAACGTGTGGTTCTGTTTCAAATATGCTTCAGATTCAGTGAGACTCTTGATGCAAGAGCAGTACATTGATGAGCTAGTGTTCAAGTGCCTAACATTGGAGTATGATCTGGGAAGTGCAGTGAATCGACTGATAACACAGCCAGGACAGTTTGCTGGTATTTATCAATAAAGTTATAACCATACTCAGGTCTAATGCATTAGTATTAGACCTGAGTACCAGTGGTTTTGCTTCAATGATCACCAGCATCCATGCATCAGGAATTTTTATTCCACTGACTCTTTGTGTTCATTGATAAGTCTCCTGTGGAGAGCCTCTTTGACCCTACTACATGACTTGTAGTATATACCAGTGAGGTCACAATCATTTCACTATTTGGAATATGCCGGTTGAGTTTATTGACAGTGACATGCAGTCACACTCACTGGTACACCTATAGAGTATGAGAAAAGCACTCAAAATATATGAAACATTGAATTTGTTTGTATGTACGGTCTTTTCCACCCATAAGTGGAGAGATCACATGGTGGTACTCATCAATGCAAAATTACACTGACTGTGTCATTGAAAATGGGGAATTAAGTCAGTCACTGGGGGAAACATCACTTTCAACAAGTTTAGATAACCAGAAGAACATCTAAGGGAGCATGCAGCCACTTTCAATGCTGTCAGTGTGAAAGTAATAGTCATTGATTTGGGGGAAAACAGCTGAGTGAAAAACTATTGGGAACTGTAATCAGCCCATAGCTTATGGTGATTGATATTATATTAATAATAATTAACAATGAGACCCATAGCCCTTGTGGGCTACGGGTTAATAGCCAATGCGAAGCC